TAAACAATAGACTAATTAAATAACTATTTCTCATGTATAAACTATTGGCAATATAATTTGACTAAAATTTAGTAAATATTCATGGTTTATATACATGCAGTAAGGTTAGGCACATTATCATAATATTAACAAATTACCTATTGTGGAGAAAATTGAAATAGCTGTTGCATAAAAACCAGAGCCAATTAACACATTTAATTATTATATTTGAATTCAGCATGTTAAATTTATTAAGAAATGGCACATGTCGTTTCCGAAACTGAGAAAAACTGAAAATTTGTAGAACAGTGTAGTTGACAAATTGAGTGGGGTCCAGTGATGTTTTTTTCAACAGCGGTTTTATAACAGCTTGTTTTAGGCTGGCTGGAATGATGCCTTCCCGAAGGGAGGCATTAACCACCACCTTTACCCGCTCTGCCAAACCCCCTCTGGCTTCCTTTACCAGACAGGATGGGCAGGGGTCTAGGATGCATGTGGTTGGCCTCGCTTCCCCAAGAATCCTGTTGACGTCCTCGAGCTGAACAGATTGAAATGAATCCATCAAAACTGGACAAGCAGGTGCTCGTGTTACATCCTCAGAGATTGCCGTTAATATGGGGTCAAAGCCTAGACGGATCGAATCGACTTTGTCCGCAAAGTACAATGGGACCTGTAATCCAATAAATCAACCCATAACCAATGGCTAATATTTTTAAAAATAATCCGTCTTGGGCCCTTCCCATAAATGTAAATCAGGGGAAAATGGGACCTGTAGTCCAATAAATGAACTCACAATAACTGGAAATCCATTGTGGATTGCTTCAAATAAGGAAGCTGCAATTTTTATGGCTAGTGGAAAGACAATGGGACTTGTAGTCCAATAAAACAACCCACAACCAATTGTTAATACTAAAAAAAAAAATCACTCTTTGGCCCATCCCACTAATGGAAATCACAAGTAGCAATGTCTAGCAGGAGACAATGGGCCTTGTAGTCCAATGAAAGCGCCTATAACAAATTATTAATATTAAAAATTACTTTGGAGCTGCAATGGCTATGGACAATGGGACCTGTAGTCCAATAAAACAACCCACAACCAATGGCTAAAAATTACATCCCATAAATGGAAATCGCAAATGGCCGTGGCCGGCAGAGAACAATGGGACCTGTAATCCAATAAATGAACCCACAATAACTGGAAATCCATCTTGGGCTGCCTCAAAGAAGGAAACTGCAATGGTTATGGCTGGTGGAAGGTCAATGGGATCTGTAGTCCAATACAAAACTTATAACAAATGATTAATACTCTTAAAAATTACTTGTTTGGAGCCATCTGATATAACGAAGCTGCAATGGCTATGGCTGGCAGGGGACAATGGGACCTGTAGTCCAATAAATGAACCCATAATAACTGGAAATCCATTTTGGCCAGCCTCAATGAAGGAAGCTGCAATGGTTATGGCTGGTGGGAGGACAATGGGACTTGTAGTCCAATACAAGTGCCTATAACAAATGATTAATACCAAAAATAATTAATTCGGAGCCCCTTCATATAACCAAGCTGCAATAGCTATGGCTGGCAGAGGATAATAGGACCTGTAGTCCAATAAAGAAACCCACAGCAAGGAACTAATGCCAGAAATCACCCTTGGTCTGCCTCAGAGAAAGAAGCTGTAAAGCTGTAGTCCAATAAATGAACCCACAACCAATGACTCATATTTTTTGAAAAAAATCCAAGCTTTGACTCATCCCATGAATAGAAATCACAAATAGCAATGGCTGGCAGGGGACAATGGGCCTTGTAGTCCAATAAAAGAGCCTATAACAAATCCTTAATATTAATATAATAATATAATAATAATTTAATAATGTAATAGTATTATATTATTATTATATTATATTAATATTAAAATTACTTTGGAGCTGCAATGGGTATGGCTGGCAGAGGACAATGGGACTTGTAGTCCAATACAAGAGCCTATAACAAATTGTTAATATAAATATAATAATAATAATTTAATAATATATTATTATTATTATATTATATTAATATTAAAAATTACTTTGGAGCTGCAATGGGTATGGCTGGCAGAGGACAATGGGACTTGTAGTCCAATACAAGAGCCTATAACAAATTGTTAATATAAATATAATAATAATGATAATAATTTAATAATATATTATTATTATTATATTATATTAATATTAAAAATTACTTTGGAGCTGCAATGGGTATGGCTGGCAGAGGACAATGGGACTTGTAGTCCAATACAAGAGCCTATAAGAAATTGTTAATAAAAATATATTAATAATGATAATAATAATTTAATAATGTATTATTATTATTATTATATTATATTAATATTAAAAATTACTTTGGAGCTGCAATGGGTATGGCTGGCAGAGGACAATGGGACTTGTAGTCCAATACAAGAGCCTATAAGAAATTGTTAATAAAAATATATTAATAATAATGATAATAATTTAATAATATATTATTATTATTATATTATATTAATATTAAAAATTACTTTGGAGCTGCAATGGGTATGGCTGGCAGAGGACAATGGGACTTGTAGTCCAATACAAGGAGCCTATAACAAATTATTAATATTAATATAATAATAATGATAATAATTTAATAATGTATTATTATATTATTATTAATATTAAAAAATACTTTGGAGTTGCAATGGGTATGGCTGGCAGAGGACAATGGGCCTTGTAGTCCAATAAAAGAGCCTATAACAAATTGTTAATATAAATATAATAATAATGATAATATAATAGTATTATATTATTATTATATTATATTAATATTAAAATTACTTTGGAGCTGCAATGGGTATGGCTGGCAGAGGACAATGGGACTTGTAGTCCAATACAAGAGCCTACAGCAAATTATTAATACTAAAATTAATTAATTTGGAGCCCCTTCATGTAAGCAAGCTGCAATAGCTATGGCTGGTAGAGGATAATGGGTCCTGTAGTCCAATACAGAAACCCACAACTGCCAAAAATCACCCTAGAATCATAGAATCAAAGAGTTGGAAGAGACCTCCTGGGCCATCATCCAGTCCAACCCCATTCTGCCAAGAAGCAGGAATATTGCATTCAAATCACCCCTGACAGATGGCCATCCAGCCTCTGTTTAAAAGCTTCCAATGAAGGAGCCTCCACCACACTCCAGGGCAGAGAGTTCCACTGCTGAACGGCTCTCACAGTCAGGAAGTTCTTCCTCATGTTCAGATGGAATCTCCTCTCTTGTAGTTTGAAGCCATTGTTCCCCGTCCTAGTCTCCAGGGAAGCAGAAAACAAGCTTGCTCCCTCCTCCCTGTGGCTTCCTCTCACATATTTATACATGGCTATCATATCCCCTCTCAGCCTTCTCTTCTTCAGGCTAAACATGCCCAGCTCCTTGAGCCGCTCCTCATAGGGCTTGTTCTCCAGACCCTTGATCATTTTAGTCGCCCTCCTCTGGACACATTCCAGCTTGTCAATATCTCTCTTGAATTGTGGTGCCCAGAATTGGACACAATATTCCAGGTGTGGTCTAACCAAAGCAGAATAGAGCATGGGGAGCATGACTTTCCTAGATCTAGACACTATGCTCCTATTGATGCAGGCCAAAATCCCATTGGCTTTTTTTGCCGCCACATCACATTGTTGGCTCATGTTTAACTTGTTGTCCACGAGGACTCCAAGATCTTTTTCACACGTACTGCTCTCGAGCCAGGCCTCATCGTCCCCCATTCTGTATCTTTGCATTTCGTTTTTTCTGCCTAAGTGGAGTCTCTTGCATTTGTCACTGTTGAACTTCATTTTGTTAGTTTTGGCCCATTATTTCTCTAATCTGTCAAGATTCCTTTGAGTCCTGCTCCTGTCCTCTGGAGTCTTGGCTCTCCCTCCCAATTTGGTGTCGTCTGCAAACTTGATGATCCTGCCTTCTAACCCTTCATCTAAGTCATTAATAAAGATGTTGAACAGGACCGGGCCCAGGACGGAACCCTGCAGCACTCCACTCATCACTTCTTTCCAAGATGAAGAGGAAGCATTGGTGAGCACCCTCAGAGAAGGATGCTGTAAAGTGGAAGGGCAATGGGAATTGTAGTCCAATAAGACAACTCACAAAGAATGGTTAATTCTAAAAAATCAATCACTGGGCCCATCTCAGAAATGGAAACAGCAATGGCAGGGGGTGATGGGACTTGTAGTCCAAAGGATGAAACCAAAACTGATGGCTACCAATGGGAATTGTAGTCCAATAAGACAACTCACAAAGAATGGCTAATTCTAAAAAAATCAATCACTGGGCCCATCTCAGAAATGGAAACAGCAATGGCAGGGGGATGATGGGACTTGTAGTCCAAAGGATGAAACCAAAACTGATGGCTACCAATGGGAATTGTAGTCCAATAAGACAACTCACAAAGAATGGCTAATTCTAAAAAAATCAATCACTGGGCCCATCTCAGAAATGGAAACAGCAATGGCAGGGGGATGATGGGACTTGTAGTCCAAAGGATGAAACCAAAACTGATGGCTACCAATGGGAATTGTAGTCCAATAAGACAACTCACAAAGAATGGTTAATTCTAAAAAATCAATCACTGGGCTCATCTCAGAAATAGAAACAGCAATGGCAGGGGATGATGTGACTTGTAGTCCAAAGGATGAAACCAAAACTGATGGCTACCAATGGGAATTGTAGTCCAATAAGACAACTCGCAAAGAATGGTTAATTCTAAAAAATAGATAACTGGGCCCATCTCAGAAACGGAAACAGCAATGGCAGGGGATGATGGGACTTGTAGTCCAAAGAGGAAACCAAAACTGATGGCTACCCAAAGAGATGGGGACAATGGGACTTGTAGTCCAATAAATCAACCCACAAATAATGGATAATGCCCAAAAACTCACTCTTGGGCCCTTCCCATAAATGGAAACCTCATTTGCTGTGCCTGGTAGGGGATAATGGGACCTGTAGTCCACCAAGAAGCACTCCCAAAGCGTTTACTTACCTTCCACGGCAGTCTTCAGGAGCAGAGCCGACGGCGCAGGCGCAGAACAGCGAGCACCAACGCGCATGCTCAGGGCGCGGGAGGCGATTGGCTAAGGACGTCCCGCCACTCAAGCGAAACTCAAGCAAGGATTGGTCAGAGCGGCGTGTTCTTTCACTCCAGGCAAGGATTGGCCACAGAGGGCGTTCAAAGAGGTGGGCTTTTTTGTTCGTCCAATCGCCGAGAAGGGGAGGGTATAAAAGGTGGAGAGCGCCTTCGTGGCTCCTCAATCGATTCGAAAGGGCGTGGATGACTTTGTTCTCTCCTAAAATCAGAGGAATTACCTCAGAGTTTTGTTCTGGATAAACTCTACTGAGAGAATAATGCTCATTTGTTCGATAATTTTAATTAATTTGGTCATTATTTTCGTCGTTTTGTCAGAAATTTAACTTTCCTGAGGAGAAGGCACGACCGCGCATGCGCAGAGCAAAACACTCGGCGAGCGGGATGGAGACGTAGCAGCTGATTGGCCGAGCCCTTCGCGTCAATCAGTGGGAATCTCGCAGTGGATTGGCTAACATGAGACGCGTTTTGTCCTCCTATCCCAGAGAAAGGGAGGCGGGGCGAAGGAGCCAAAGGGATATAAAAGGCGCGACCGTTATCAGCCTAGGTCATTTTCCCTCAGGAGGGAACTCAGAGCAGTTCACAAAAAGAGATACAAGCATAATAATAATAATCATTATAATAACCATTATCATATTTATAATGAAAATATATTGTTATATAATATAATTTATGATATTAATTTATTATAAATAATTATCATTTTTTGTTGTTCATTAGTTCAGTCGTCTCCGACTCTTTGTGACCTCATGGACCAGCCCACGCCAGAGCTCCCTGTCGGCCGTCACCACCCCCAGCTCCTTCAATGTCGAGCCAGTCACTTCAAGGATATTTGTCGTGTCAGAGCAGCCAGTCCATTATATTACATTTCTAACAAAACAAAGCAAACAAACAGAAAGATACAAAACTTGTGAGTTTGGTAGTTGGTTAAGTGTCCTTTGAGCAGTATCTGGCCCCTTGGAGTGCCTCAGATGTTGCCGCAAGAAGGTCCTCCCTTGTGCATCATGTGGCAGGGCTCAGGTTGCATTGCAGCAGGTGGTCAGTGGTTTGCTCTTCTCCACACTCGCATGTTGAGGATTCCACTTTGTGGCCCCATTTCTGAAGGTTGGCTCTACATCTTGTGTTGCCAGAGTGCAATCTGTTCAGCACCTTCCAAGTCACCCAGTCTACTGTGTGCCCAGGGGGGAGTCCCTCATTTGGTATCAGCCACTGATTGAGGTGCTGGGTTTTAGCCTGCCACTTTTGGTCTCTTGCTTGCTGAGGTGTTTATTTATTTATTTGTTTATTTTATTTACTATTCTTGTATACCGCTGTATCTCAAGCCCGAAGGGCGACTCACAGCGGTTTCCAAACAGCAAAGACAGTAAAAACAGCAATAATTAATATACAATAACAGTTACATTACACATTTCCCTTAATAACTAATAAGCAATCATCAATACACAGGTATCACAATCCCATCCCCGATCGCCTCATCATCCAAGCGTGATCCAAATTCGTCGTCCATTGTTCCGTTCCTATGTTCAAATTACCAAAATTGCACTGAATTACTCAAACGCCTGCACAAACATCCAGGTCTTCAACTTTCTATGGAATGTCATGAGAGATGGTGCCAGCCTAACGTCTACCAGTGGTTCTCAACCTGTGAGTCCCCAGATATTTTGGCCTTCAACTCCCAGAAATCCTAACATCTGGTAAACTGGCTAGGATTTCTGGGAGTTGTAGGCCATGAACATCTGGGGACCCCAGGTTGAGAACCACTGGTCTACAGGAAGGGCGTTCCACAGCCGAGGAGCCACCACCGAGAAGGCCCTATCTCTCGTCCCCGCCAACCGTGCTTGAGAGGCTGGCGGGATCGAGAGCAGGGCCTCCCCGGAAGATCTCAAAGTCCTCTTACGGCTTGAGGCAAGGCACAACATAGTTAAAATATTTATTTATTTATTTATTTATTTAATACACTTGTATACCGCTAATATCTCAGCCTGGACCGGCGACTCATTGCGGTTTACAGCAATTAAAAACAATCTCCAATTTAAAAACATATACACATACAATACAGATTATTGGGCCACCAATAATAATCCCATATATCTCGAATTAAAATCATAATCCAGAATTCGTTGTCCATATTTCCTGTCCTTAGTCATCAAAATTCGATTGCCACAGATTAGCCGAATGCTTGTTTAAATAACCATGTTTTCAATCTCTTCCTAAACACCATCAGCGAAGAGGCTGATCGTACCTCTATAGGGAGGGTGTTCCAAAGCCGGGGGGCCACCACAGAGAAGGCCCTGTCTCTCGTTCCCGCCAGCCGCACTTCTGAAGCTGGAGGGATAGAGAGAAGGGACTCTCAGGCCCTGTCTCTCGTTCCCACCAGCCACACTTGTGAAGCCGGCGGGATAGAGAGCAGGGACTCCCAGAAGATCTTAGGGTCCTGGTGGGCTGATAGGCTGAGATACGTTCGGATAGATAAGTTGGGCCAGAACCGTTTAGGGCTTTAAAGGCCAATGCCAGCACTTTGAATTGAGCCCGGTAGCAAATCGGCAGCTTGCGGAGGTGTTCCAGCGAGTGTCTCTGTAGATCTTAGAAAACTATTTCTTGATTTAAGTCGTTGACGTGCTGGCTGATACTCAAACAAGGGATGAGCTGGAGATGTCTCTGCCTTGGTCCTTTCACTATTGGCTGCTACTTCCCGGCGGATGTCAGGTGGTGCAATACCAGCTAAGCAGTGTAATTTCTCCAGTGGTGTAGGGCGCAGACACCCCGTGATAATGCGGCATGTCTCATTAAGAGCCACATCCACTGTTTTAGTGTGGTGAGATGTGTTCCACACTCAGTAGCAGAGTAGCACAGCGCAAGGGCAGATGTCTTCACTGTATCTGGTTGTGTAACTTCAAGGATACCATCCCTCCATCTTGCCCTTGGTCGGCCCCTCTTCCTTTTTCCTTCCATTTCCCCCAGCATCACTGCCTTCTCTAAGTGTAGGGGCAACGAAACCAGAATATTTCCCAAAAAGGCAGAAGCCCCCTTTCCAATAGGGAGGGCAAGGATGGGAAGCCACCATTATGTAAAGAAGCATGTACATATGTGCGGTCCTCTGTCAACACTTTAATATCTGGGACTCTCTGTGTGTTGTAAAACAAAAGCCTCTTGGCTTTGAATCACAGGCTTGAGGCTCTCGTAAATAAAAAAAGTATCCAAGTTTATTTATAACTAGCTTGGGGACCCGGCGTTGCCCGGGTTATTAGAGAAAGTGGGTAATGGCGGTTCTGTATGCCAAGTTTGGTCTTTATTGGTCTTTGGATAACGGCTGCATTATTTTCAGGAAGTGAGTGAAGGTACTTGAAGTCCCATCATCCATGTCCCATCCTCCTACAAACAGCAGCAGGATATAGAGTGGGTCATGGGGGCTCTGTGTGCCAAGTTTGGTCTTTATCAGTCATTAGATGAGGGTGGCAGTGGTGTCAGTAAGTGAGTGAAGGTACTGCAAGTCCCATCATCCAAAGTCCATCCCCTTTCAAATTGCAGCAGGATGTAGAGTGGATCATGGGGGCTCTGTGTGCCAAGTGTGGTCTTGATTGGTCATTAGAAGAGGGTTGCAGCAATCTTTGGAAGGGAGTGGAGGTACTTGAAGTCCCATCATCCATGGTCTGTCCTCCTCCAAACTGCAGCAGGATGTAGAGTGGGTCATTGGAGCTCCATGTGCCAAGTTTAGTCTTGATTAGTCATTGGCGAGGGTCTCAGTGGTCTCAGGAAGTGAGCAAAGGTACTGCAAGTCCCATCATCCATCTCCAAAGTTTTCCAAACAACACCAGGACGTAAAGTGGGTCATGAGAGGTCTATGTGCCAAGTTTGGTCTTGATCCGTCATTGGATGAGGTTTGCAGAGGTCTCAGAATGTGAGTGAAGGTACTGGAAGTTCCATCATCCATGGTCCACCCTTCTCCAAAACTGCAACAGGATGTAGAGTGGGTCATGGGGGCTCTGTGTGGCAACTTTGGTCTTGATTGGTCATTAGATGAGTTTTGCAGCAGTCTTGGGTAGTGGAGGTACTTGAAGTCCCATCATCCATGGTCTGTCCTCCTCCAAACTGCACCAGGATGTAGAGTGGGTCATTGAAGCTCCATGTGCCAAGTTTGGTCTTGATGAGTCATTGGCGAGGGTCTCAGTGGTCTCAGGAAGTGAGTGAAGTGACTGCAAGCCCCATCATCCATTGTTAAATTCTTCCAAACCGCACCAGGATGTAGAGTGGGTCATGCTGGGTCTCTGTGTAAATTGCGGTCCTGATCCATCATCGTTGGTAGTTGTAATGGTCTTAGGAAGGGAGTGCAGGTATTGCAAGTCCCATCGTCCATGGTGCATCCTCCTTCAAACTGCACCTGGATGTAGAGTGCGTCATGGAGACTCAGTGTGCCAAGTTTGGTATTTATTGGTAATTGGATGAGGGTTGCAGTGGTCTGAAGAATTGATCAATGGTACTGCAAGTCCCATAATCCACGGTCCATCTCCGGCCAAACCACAGCAGGACGTAAAGTGGTTCATGAGAGGTCTATGTGCGAAGTTTGGTCCTGATCAGTCATTGGATAAGGTTAACAGCGGTCTCAGAATGTGAGTGGTGGTACTGCAAGTCCCATCATCCATGGTTCATACTCCTCCAAACTGCAGTAGGATGTAGAGTGGGTGATGGGGGCTCTGTGTGCCTATTTCGGTCTGTATTGGGAGTGTTCTGACCCAGCCCCCGGCCTTTCCTTTCCTCTCTTTGTCATCTCGGAATGTTGGATTTGAGGCTGGCCAATCAGAGACCATATGCAAATTTCCTTCTGTCATGCCCCGTTTCTGCCATGAACCCTCTTCTCCACCAGGGGCTCCTCTTGAAGCTGCCCAATCAGAGACCATATGCAAATAGCACCACAGCGGCAGCCAATCAGAACGCTGCCACATACACCGCCCTCCCTCCACAATTCCTCTGTCCGATACAAACACTCTTCTTTATTATA